AATCCGGCCTCACGATTCACCGCTAGCTGTGACTCGAGCACCTCCACACTCACCGCCTCTCCCATTCACAGTCCCAAACCGACTTTTACTCCAAAGTCATCCTGGAGGCAAACAACAATTCAAAGATGCTGTTTTCCACCGTCCATCACCCCTCGAACTCCCTCTATCCTCACATCATCTTCCCCCTCCCCACCCCATGATCCCTTCCAGACCATCCACACCCCCTTCTCTCTCCGCCACGGTTCTTGTCACTCCCCTCTCCTTACACTCCTTTGCTCCCATTTCTCCATCCTCCCTCTCAACCACAATCACCCGGATGAAGTTCACCCCCTGTTGCCTCGACCCCCTCCTCAGCAGCTGGTCACTCAACACTCCCTCCTCTCCCCACTGTTGGCCGACACGGTCAACCAGTCTCTCTCCTCAGGCAGTGTTCTGCTCCACCTGAAAATCACTATCATCACACTCCTCAAAAAATCCACCCTCGATTCCTTGAATCTCTCACGCTACCGATCCATCTCCAACTTACCCTTCCTTGCCAAAGTCCTGGGACGCATTGTTGCAGGTCAACTTCAGTCACACCTCTCCCTCCACTCCCTCCTTGAGCCCCTGCAGTCTGATTTTCGCCCTGACTGCCCACAGCACGGAGACAGCGCTTGTCAAAATCACAAACGACGTCCTCTCTATCTGTGACCAGGGCTCCCTCTGCCTCCTCGTCCTCCTGGATCGACCACTCCATCCTCCTCCATTGCCTCTCCTCCCTCATCCACCTTAATGGACTGCACTCGCATTGTTCAAGTCCTACTTAACCAACCACTTCCATTTCATCTCGGCAAATGGTTTCTCCTCCCGGCCCCGCCCGGTCACCTGCGGGGTACCCCAGGGCTCCATCCTTGGCCCTCTTCTTTTTCTTATCTATATACTCCCTCTGGGTGATGTCATCCGCAGACATGGGGTAAACTTCTACATGTATGTGGATGACACACAAATCTACTTTGCCTCCTCCATTACCAACTCCAGGTCCGCCGATGTTCTATCAGCTTATCTGGCAGATAAGTGGATAAGTGCAAACTTCCAGTAGCTAAATGTGGACAAGACGGAAGCCATTCTCCTTGGCGCCCATCAACGTCTTCACTCCTGCGGATCTAAACTCCTCAATCTGACTGGGCTCTCCCTCAGACTCACCGAACCAGTGCGCTATCTAGGCATCCAATTCGACCCCCAGCTGTCCTTCCTCCCCCACATCTGGTCCTTGACCAGGGCCGCCGCCTTCCATCTCCGCCACATTGCCCGCAACCGACTGTACCTTACCCCAAATGCAGCCGAAGCTCTCCTGCATGCGTTTGTCACCTCCCGCTTGGATTACTCAAACGCACTCCTCACCGGTCTCCCCAGCTCCACTATTCAAAAGACCCAGCTCATTCAGAACTCTGCCGCCCACATACTGACCCGGACCAAACTCCACATCTCCATGGGTTCCAATTGATACAAGGCATTCAGTGAGCACTGATTCAGCTCCTAGTTTAGCAGGAGGTGGAGTGAAATGGGGGCAGCTGGGTGGCATAATTACCAACTAGTGACTATCCTCCTGTGGGGGAGGTAAGTGGCGTCTCCTTACAGCTAACCAAGCTCCAGGGTCACACGTATGGAACCAGTATATCAGAATCGAACCAATCTTATGTGGTGGTCTTGGTAGGCCAGTTCCTGAGCCAGGCAGGTCTGCAGTATTCCAGAGCACTGCTTAAGACAGTCTGGCCAGTCTGGCTCACCGGCAGGACTTGGAAGGGTCGACCACTGAGGCAGAGACTTTTCCCACTCATCTCCTGTTAAACCTATAAACCAAAGCTCTAACGGACAGGGTTGTCCGAGCTGGAAAACTGGTGGGAATGCTTGCCAGATAGTGCTTTAATAGCAAGTTATGCAGCCTGAGCTGGTTAGACTCCAGCAGTATTCCAACGCACACTCTGGGGTCCCAAAATCTTAGCTCTTGACAACCTTCGCCCAATAATTTCCGAGAATTGGGTAAGCAGGATGCAACCTTCCAGGGAGGGAGTGCGCATTCCATTCCAATAAAAATCTCAGGAATTTCCAATGTATATATGAGATGATGGATTTCTGCATGTGTCCGACATTTGGCTGAGCAAAAAAAAACGAATAAAAAATTATCAGATCGGAAAGGAAGTTTAGGAGGAACTTCTTTATGCAGTGGGGGGTGAGAATTCACGTTGTAAGCTTTGGCTGAAGCAATAAACATCAATGTATTTAGGAGAAAATATAATGGATGCATGAGGGAGAAGGGAATAGGTGTAGAGGAGAAGAGAATAGCTTGTGTGGAAGATAAGTATTGCCACTGTTGGGCTGAACAGCTTACTTCCAAACCATATCATTCTATGTAAGATTGGGCTCTGAAACAGGACCTCAAGTGAATTTAATACTCTTTTCTCATTCTCACTTATCTTTCAATGAAGGCACTGTTAACTGAAAATTCCCCATTTCCATTTTCTAACAATAAAAGACTGGCCTTTTAGTCAAATCAGTTTTCCCTTCTAGCTTTCTAACCTCATAAAACATTGAATATCTCGCTAGGAATATATTCTTCGAACACCAACATAGTATTTTTCAGATTTTTACATCACTGGATTTATCTTCCTGGATTTGAAAGCCTGCTTTTGTATAGTTAGTGGAAAGCTCAGAAGACATGACTCAAAGGTCCAATGGACCTCAACTTGGCTTTGCTCTGCTGATATGCTGACTGTGTAACGCTTACTCAAGGTAACATTAGCAGCATTCAGTCTTATTTAAGACCACAATTATGTTCCTGTGCTGAAAGATATGAAATAAACGGAGAGCTTTATAAAGGCTAAAATAATGGAATGTCTGTTACCCAGCTCCCAAACATGGTTGAACGAACAAAATTTGTCAGCACCAGGCATGTAATGGGAAATAAATTGTAGAGATTGCATTGAGAATTTACACAACTCCCCATTGTAAGTGCTGAGAGAAATGAGGTTTAAGCACAGAAAATTCTCCACATTTATTTACAACATGAAACTGTCATGTTAACAGTTTTTGGGTGTTTATGCACTTCTTTAAATGCTACACACACACAGTAAAGATCTATAGACCACTTTCCTAAATCAGACTTCAGTTGATCTCAATTCAAACTGTACTACACAGGTGTGTAATGGGCTACTGAGGATGTGTTTCTTTGCTGGTTAATGTGTCTAAAAATCTGCAATTTCAGACATATTGACATATTCTCAAATAATTTGCTTTGTTTTCACATCAATTTGTCTCCTTCGATCTCCTCCTCCACCCTATTTGTCCCTCATTTAATGGCCAGAGGTCTCCTTTGTTTTCCTTTATTGAGATTAATCCTTCACCACCAACCAAGTGTCATTCATATCCCAGTTACTTGACCAACTTGTACTGCGATTCATGGAACTTCTGAAACTTTTTGTGTGGAAAATAGTGAAGAGACGGTCAGAAACGTGTCACAAGGCAGCAGTAGAGACGTCACTGTTAGCGTTAATATCCTTCAGTACCCCTTGCTTAAACAAGAGGCAAGTCAGTCAGGGTTCCAGAGGTCAGCAACTCCACCTTATAAAACTAACAGGTAAAATTGTGAAAAATTCTCAAACTACAGTCAATCTGAAAACCAGTTTTAGCCAACTCATCCAAAGCACCTTAAAAAGAAATTGAGACTGAATTTAATCATTTTTCATTTCGGGTTTTGATTGCTACGCAGTGATTTTTGCTTGTGACTGGGCATTCGATGAGGAGAAGATTGGGTTCTCACTCGAATGGTTAAATAAACTACTGGGACTCAGTCTAGGCTCATAGAGGAATAATATCTGCTTGACTGAAGTACCAAACACTGTGCATGTGAAGTCCTGCAGCTCAGTGGTTAGAGCACTTGCCTCGCAAGCGTGAGACCTGCGTTTGATTCCCAGCAGGGCGAAATGTTGATGAAGTACCCTTACTCCACACGCCTCTGTTTATCTGGCAGTAAGTAGGAACCCGGTTGTTAGTTGGTTGGCGGATTCCTTTTCCGGGGCTAGTAATTTCTTAAAAAAAACTGGTCACTCAACCACTACTGTTGGTGGGACGCTGCTGTGCGTAATTGGCTGCCGCGTTTCGCCCACAAAATATACAGTCAATTCACCTTACAGTATATTCTGTGAAGTGCTTTGAGACGTCTTAAAGATGTGATAAGGTACTATATCAAATGCAAGGATTATTATTGTTACCCTCAGCGTTAGACACTGAGTCCGTGTCTTCAGGAGAAGAAATTGGAGAGGAGGAAACTATGTGACCAGTTAGGTTTGCCTACTAAATTAAGATAAATTATTCTAACCTTGTACAGATCACTGGTGAAGCCCCATATGGAATATTATGTACAGTTATGCACAGCCAACCTTCAGAGGGACATTGGAAAGTGTTCCAAGAAGAGCAATATGGGGTGATCCAGCAACTTTGAGGTTTTAAGTTATGAGCAAAGGCTCACAGAAATCTACCTTGCTCTGTTACAGCAAAGGGCAATGTGATCCAAGTCTTTGACATGATGAGGTATAGATGTTGATGTAAGCAGGCTATTTTTGAGTAAGTCTGTGAGAGAAAATCTAGAGGGAATATATCTGACATTAAAAAAAACGCAAATAAATCTCGAGGTTGCAAGATATTAAATATGTGGAACAGACTTACAATAAAAAATATGATTCATGCTACATAAGTCAAAAATTAGCAGACTGGGACTGAAGTGAACAAGTACAATGTTTGTGAGATTAGGTGAACAATTTTGACTTTTTGTTTCACTGCCTCTACTGGAAACCTGGAAGTATCTATTACAGGACTATCCCCTGCAAGGCAGAGTGGGTGGGATGCAGTGCGTAATAGAATGGTTTTGCATGTCTGTGGAAGGAGAGAGTGAGCTTAATGAACTTTTCATATCCCACGCTTTCTTGTGGTCTTAAACTAAGGTGCACAATCTTTCTCTTGATTAGGTGGCATCTCTAACAGTGGACACGTGTTCTGAGGATCAGGAATCTGGTTACTGCACAGCTACCAGCATGACATCAGCAACTGATTGGTAAGAATTCCTCTTTCTACAGTTCTTCTTCTCTGAACACATATCAAGGTTAGAGCTACCTACTCGCAATGGCAAGATTTACATTCCACTTACATTCCAGTGTTATGTTTCAGGGTTTTCTCTGTCTTCCAGGATTGCCACCCAATAAGCTGTTTGTGGAAGAGAGTTAATGGTGTCCAATATGGGGTGAGGGAGAGAGTTGGTCAGCTGGGTGTCTTGATACATGAGGAAACCCAGCAGCATGTATTAGGCACACACTGGCAAGTGCTAAGACTCCGGGACCCCAGATCCCTATAGAGTGAGTTGGGCTACTACTGGAGTTTGACCAGCTAAAACCACATAGCTTGCTATTGACATTACTGTCTGGCAAGCTTCCCGCTGTTTGTCAGCTAGGACCACCTTACCCATAAGAGAGAAGACTCCGTCCCATTAGTCGGAGCTGGATTCAAATCCCGGTTCTAGAGCAGGGTCACAAATAGCTGGGTATTGTGCAGTGACCACAGCATGTTGCACGATGATAATAATAAATAATAATAATCCTTGCATTTGATATAGCGCCTTATCGCATCTCCGAGATGTCTCAAAGCATTTCAGAGAATGTACTGTAAAGTCAATTGACTGTATATTTTGTGGGAGAAACACAGCAGCCAATTGCGCACAACATCGTCCCACTAACAGTCGTGGATTGAGTGACCAAATTATTATTTTTTTTTTAACAAGTTATTACCCACGGAAAGGTGATCCACCAATTGACTAATAACCGGATTCCTGCTTAGGTCAGCAGAGACGTGTGGAATAAGGAAACTTGCCCAACAAGCTAATATTGCTAACAGAGGCATGGAAATGTGACTTTTGGAGTCTGTCAGATAATGGAAACTAGACTTTGGCTTTTAGGGTTAACAACAACAACAACTTGGATTTATATAGCGCCCTCCACTCTGGATGGCGTCTCAGAGTGCTTCACAGTAACGGATCCCGGGGCCGAGCCAGGGGGAGTGGGAGGAAGGTGACCAAAGGCGCGGTCGAAAAGAAAGGTCTTCAGCAGAGACCTGAAAATAAGAAGAGAGGGGGCAAGGCGAAGGGAGTGAGGAAGGGAGTTCCAGAGCCTCGGGGCGTAGTCAAGAAGTCAAGTGGGAAAAATCCATGCTCCCAGTGACTGGGATATATTCTTGACAGAATAACTCAATAAGTAATCTTGTTACAATTCCTGTCAGCTCCACCCAGGACCTGAGCTCAACACCTCAATGTGATGATTCTCCCATAACAAGAACTCCTTGGATTTCTTCTTCAGGGGCTCTGTTAAAATATACTACAAATGAAACCACAATAGAGAAATATAGCGGAACTTCTGATCATGCTTAGCTTAGTTGAAACTAGTTTTTTGGTGCAGCAATTGAAATGACTAAACAATTTGTCATCTTTTTTTTCAACAAAAGCGTTCTGTCTGTGCTGAGTGAAACCATAATTTTTTTGTTTGCATTTGCAACACATTTAGGGATTAAGTGAAATTTAGGATTCTCTGTCGGGAAAATTCAGGGCCGGTAATGCTAAGAGAAAGTGAGGAGAAATGTTTGCCTGCCCAGAACAGCCACATCCTTCTCAATTATCTGACAGACTCCAGCAGCCACATTTGTGTGTCTCTGTTAGCTATAATCGTGAGCTCTCTTGGAACATGCTGTAGGCAGTGCATAATAGCCAGCTGTTTACGACCCCTCTGGTAACTTGGTTTGAATTCAGCTCTGACTGATGGGACAAAGTCTTCTCTCTTAAGGCAGTCAGAATCCAATTCCTAATAGGCACAGGCCCATAGCACAAAACTGCCTATAATTCATCACTAATTGGCAGCGATTAAGTGATTTCATGTCGTCGCCAGATCCAGAAATACACAGTGAATGTGTGAAGGCAAAGCATCCCCCTGGTACACTGCAGACTTCTGGATAAAGGCACCTTGTTCGATTAGTGTAGGGAGGGCTCGTTCTTGCACCCAGCCTACATGTTACTGCTCCTGGAGGGACAAGGTGACCTGGCTCGAGGTAAACCTGCCTCAGGTGGTAGCACTCTCACCTCAGAGTTAGAAGATTATGGGTTCAAGGACTTTAAACTCCCGTCATCTAGGCTGAAATTCTAATGTAGTACTCAGGGTGTGCTGCATTGTTGCAGATACAACAACAACAACAACAACAAGATTCCATTTATAAAGCGCCTTTCACGTCAGGAGGACGTCCCAAGGCGCTGCACAGTTGGGTCATATTGATGTGATATTAAACCAAGGCCCCATATGCCTTTTCAGTTGGATGTTAGATCTCCCACAGCATCATTTGAAACGAGAAGAGTTTCTTCTGGTGTGCTGGCCAACAATCCTTGAGATAAAATTGGTCATTCACTTCATGGCTGTTTGTGCCACAATGTTTGTGACAAATTGACTGCCACGTTCACCTATATAAGATACCCAAGAGCACAGATCTAATTTGCTTCACCAAATCTGTTCGTATGCTGACAGCATTCCAGTGTTTCTATTTTGGATACAAGCCCACACTATTGATAAGTGTTGATGCTTGGAGGGTTACCTGGGCAGGACTCTGATAGCAATGGCCTCCACACAACTAGTCATGAACTGTGCAGGATGGTGAGTAAATGGTACTGTGACATTAAACAGGTCATGTCTCCCTGTCCAGTGGACATTAAGGATCCCACTGCAGTATTGGAAAACAGAAGGAAGTTTCTCCCGGTGTCGTAGCCAACAATTCCCCCAAATAAATTGGTCACTCACTCCATGGCTGTTTGTGGGACATTGCTGTGCACAAAATTGACTGCCATGTTTGCCAACACAAGACACACAGTCACTACAGTATATCCTATATATTGTCTTAAGATGTCTCAACAACGTGATAAGATCCTATATCACATGCAAAGATTATCATTATAACAGTATCCCTTCCATGGACTTGAGGCAGAAATCATAAATAAATGATTTTATTTAGACACATGGACATATCTTTGCCTCTTCACCCAGCTCTTTGTATCATTTTGACAAAGGCAGGAAACCAGCCTTCATTGGGATTTTTTCTCCCAATATCCCTTAAAGCAAAAATGTACAGTATCTCTGGACAAATTGCATTTGGAATTTGATTTGGATTATCAGTTCACTGAGCCTTTAAAGTTTTTTTCAAATGATGCTTCCTGTTTCTTGCATGCCTTACTCAGTGCCAGTTGATATGGAACATAACAGTGACATTAATAATAATAACCCTTGCATTTGATATAGCGCCTTATCACGTTTCTAAACGTCTCAAAGCACTTCACAGAATATCCTGCCGAGTGAATTGACTGTTTTGTGGGTGAAACCACTGTTTGCGCACAACTAAGTTAGCATTTATTTAAGACCCAGCAGGATGGAGCTCAGTGACTAGAGGTGGGAGTTCCTCTACCATCGTGGTACAGGACCAAAAAAAACAAAATTAGTGTAAGTACTGTACGTATTGCAGGTTTAAGTGTCACTCTAACATTGCCTTATTGTGCTGGTGTATTGAGGAACATTTTAAGATGATTACTGAATAAAGTGAATCAATTTGGAATTTCAGGTTAGCTTTATTCATCTGGTGTTGCTTTCAAAGAATGGTGTTGATGCTCCCAGCTTGTGCAGTGCAATGTTGTGACTCTAATTCTGTATGCTTTGCTTTGTAGGACCCTGGAAGTGCAACCTAACAGGTTAACAGTGGGAGGGATCAGATCAGTAGAACCAATTCTTCAGAGGAGAGGGCAAGTCGTCACCCATGACTTTGTTGGGTGTGTGATGGAATTCGCTGTCAATGGTCGTCCACTGGAACCCAGCCAGGCCTTGGCAAACCATGGAATTCTGGACAGGTGTGGCACTTGAGAATTCAATATATTTTCCTCAGCCGGGTGTCCTGACACATGCGGAAACCCATCACCGTGCTTCAGAGTATCCAAACCAAGCTGAGATTTCCATGCATCCCACCTACACATGGAAATACCAGAGATGGATTGTTGGAATGCAATGCACACTCTCTCCCTGGAGGGACACATCCTGATTACCTGATTCCGGAAAGTATTAGGCGCAGTTTGGCCAGAACCAAGGCTTGGGAACCTCAGAGTGTGCATTGGGGTAACTGCTGGAGTCTAACCAGCTAAAATGAATAGCTTGCCATTGATAATGCTGTCTGGCAAGCTTTCCCACTGCTTGTCCAGTTAGGACAGCCCTACCCGTTAGGGCTTTGGCTTGCAGGGTTAACAGGACCTGAGTGGGATGATTCCCTGCCCCCATTGACTGGTCTGCCCTTCCAGGTCCTGCTGATGAGCCAGACTGGCTGTGCTGTCATCAGCAGTGCCCTGGAATACTGCAGACCCGCCTGGCTCAGGAACTGGACTAATGAGACCGCAATAGAGGGCTGGCTTGATTCTGCATTCGATTGCCAGGCATGTCACATTGGAATCAGTTCAGCCCGCTTACCTCCATCCTGAGGAGAATGGTCACTGTATTGAATCAAAACCAACTAACTATAACCTGATGTAAAGAGGACACAGAATGCTAGGACTTCAGTCACTAAAGCTGCTCTCCTCCAGACCCTTTATACTGCTGGGAGATTTTCTTTACCGGGGAAAGCTGGATTGTCTCATTGATGGTAGAGCATTCTTCCAGGATACTGGAGGGCACTGTTTGCTGGCCATCACTTTTCCAGGATCCACTCTTGCTCAGGCACCGCCTGGTGGGTCCAATGCCCTGCCAGAACCTCCCTCATACCATGCACACAGCCCAATCCCATTCACGTTTCATTTCTTTTGTGAAATCAAACATACTGTACTTAGAAAATTACATATTGCAGATATGAAATGTTTCTAACCCACAACAATTATCCTAAACCATACAAAGCAACTGCTGGGTTTGTTTAAATTTTTCTGATTTAGTCAAGCCGGCCGCTGTTTGAAATTAAAAGTTATTTTTCCTCAATAAAGTAAAATAAAAAAATGCTATTATTGAAATTGAGTTTGGCAAACGTAGGACAAAATGCTTCATCTGCAGTGCTGTGCACTGTAAATTAATAACCAGTTTATTCTCCCATCCCTAGCTAACACTGTTAAACATTTAAATTATTCGCCCAAGAAAAGACAGTCTCGAATCTGTCCTTAAGGACTATGCTGAATTCACTATAAATGGAACATTTAATGGTGAACTTTTAGCAAAAAAAAATGAAGACAGACATCATTCTTTCTAACGTTGAGTGTAAGACAGACCTCGTTTTTTCAACATAGAGCATAAGAAAGACCCCAGTCTTTCTAACATTGAGTGTAAGACAGACCGTGTTTTTTTAACATAGAGTATAAGAAAGACTCCAGTTTTTCTAATGTTGGGTATAAGGTAGTCCTCAGTCTTTCAAACAATGACAGACTTCAATGTTTCCAATGTAACATAAGGGAAATTGGATGCACTCAGCACCTATAATAGTTATTTTGCTTCTTTTGCACAGCATGAGCTCCCAAGTAATAGAAATTGTAGCTGCTGACTGAATGAATTTATTATCTTACATTAAACTTGTTTTATCTTAGGTGCCCGAGAGTGGAAGGGGCTTGTTCGAACAGCCCATGTCAGCATAGCAAGTCGTGTGTGGATCACTGGTCATGGCAGCACTGTAACTGCAAGGATGGGTTCACAGGCGAACACTGCGAAAAACGTAAGGCTCAGGCGAAAGTCCAATATGTGTTGTGTTTATGTATAATGTATAGATCCATCTCCTGCGCACTGGGTGGAAGGGAACAGTTGTTCAGGGGAGGCACAGTGGAGAAAGCAAGGTCTGGTTTGTCTGCTCGGCAGGCTCCGACCTGCTCCACGGCCCCCGCCCAGCCCACCCCACCATCGGCGGTTGGGTCTTCAGCCTCTCTGCCCCCACACCTTGGAACTACATCCCACAGACCTTCCGCCTCGCCCCCATCCCTTGCCTCCTTCAAGTCACTTTTGAAGACTGTCCTCTTCGACCGTGCCTTTGGTCAGCCTCCTATTCCCTACCCTCCCCTGCCCTCCACCCCTCCCGATCCCAACCCCCTGCTCGGGTCCAAATCCCTGACAGTCCAGCGCTTTGGGAAGTCCTCCTGACACGAAAGGCACTATACAAATATAATTTGTTGTTATTGTTGAGTACGCTAGAGTATTTAAATGTACCTGTCTGGTCTGTGCCATTGATACAAACCCAAAATGCTGCAAGAAATTAGTTGTTTTTTACCCAGTGTGTCGCTGTTGCTATCTGAGCCTTTCTCCGTCTGCTACACAATCATTTTCCTCCAATCTATGGCTCTTTCAGTGGTCAGCGTGGATACAGCATTGTCCCTGGATGGCAGGGGACATCTGGACTACACAATCAATCAGAATGAGAAACGGGATTATTTGCTGAGGCAGAGTGTAAGAGGCTGGGCTCCCAAGCCTGCGAGTCCGAATCGCCTGGACCTAAAGTTCAGAACAAGAAGCAAAAATGGCATTCTAATTCACGTGCAGGAAAGCAGCAATTACACCACTGTGAAAGTAAGATTAAAGCTCGCTCTAGATTGACTTGATTAGGCTGCATGCAGTGCTGTGGTTTTAATCATTGTTCCCATCACCCGTGTCCTTTCTTCATCAAGTACCGGTCACAGTGCTGGGAGGTTTTGACCAGTGCTGGGCAGCATGCCAAAAAACATCCGTCATCTGAGCAGTCACCAACCAGTCGCAGGCTCGGCTACGTGCTGGCTCCAACCTTCATGCAGAATTACTGCCAGTGGAGATAGATATTTCAGATTTGATAGCAGTAAATAAAATGCTAACGAACAGAACACATAACTGTTATTTTTTTCTGTATTTGAAAAGAGTTCCAGCGTTCAGGCCGACGAATCTCCAGATTAAAAATTGCTCATTCACTTCATGGCTGTGGTCTCCCTCCCTCCCTCCCTCCCTTCCTCCCTCCCTCTCTGCCTCCCTCCCTACCCCCTATTTGGGTCTTGGAACTGACATAGACTAGGTTGACATTTTACTGTAGTGCAGGGAAGGTACTGCATTGTTGGAGGTGCCATCCTTCAAATGAGATATTAAACCGAGATCCAGTTGGCTTGCTCAGATGTCCTCAATCAACTTGATCATTCACTCCATGGCCATTTGCGAGACATTGCTGTATGCAAATTGCTGCCATGTTGGTCTATACGTTATACGTTACAGTATATCCTGCAAAGTGCTTTGAGACATCCTACTTATGTGAAAGGTGTTATATCAAATATAAGGAGTTTTATTACTTATGTCCACAGATACGTATTTTCTTTCAGAGAGCAATCAGGAACAAGAAACATCACTGATATTGAGGCCAATTTTGTTTTCACTCCTCCCCGCCACCACCCCCCCACCCCTCCCACACCAATGCTGTCCCACTGAGATCACTTAACTGTGCAAAAAACATGGGACTTTTTATTCTTTTATGGCTTAGTTGCACTCTAGGCAGCGGTTTAGCCAATCAAGCCTCTCTAACTCAGGAAGCAGTTATTTCTCAACGGGCAGCCTATAACAAATATCCATGTGGAGCACAGAAAGTACAGATTGTTACCATTAAAAACTAGCCTTTGAAATTCAGTCACTGGAAAGAAAAGGGAAGATCGTAACACTTTTGCCCACGTTTTAAGTTATCAATAAAGATGTGCACTTGGTAAATGATGCACTGCTTGGGGAATTGCCGAGTCCTTCAGACGATCTGCCCGTCCATTCAGTGTGAGCGTTATTAATGGGGACAGCCGGTGAGCAAAGACCGACCCAAAGGAAACCTGATATCAGAATATTTAGAGGGTTAGCATACCACCACTCTCTGCTGAAAGAAAGTCGTACTAAAATTTAGTCTAATTGTTTTTCCACACAATGGGTTTGACCTAAAATAATGTGTTGCAGATTTCATTAAACCTTCTGAATATCACACACAACAACGTGTCTTAACAGATATTAGACCCGGAATTCTGACACGAAAGGTGTTAGGGTAAATGTAAATTTGTGGTGTATTGCCTGTAAAACCATATTGTCTTAAAATTTAAGATCGTGCAGACTTACTGAATACCCTCAAATTGCATCTTAATTTAGAAGATAGTTCTTTCTGAGAACTGCAGTAAAGTGTCTTAACAACAACAACGTGCATTTATATAGCGCCCTTCACGTGGGGTAGCGTGTCTGAGCGCTTGACAGTGGTGGAGTTTGACCCCGAGCCGGGGGGAGAGGGAGTGTGGAGGTGACCATAAGCAACATCAAAAAGGAAGGTCTTTAGGTGTGATTTGAAAGTGGGGAGGGAGGGGGGCAAGGCGGAGGGATTGAGGGAGGGAGTTCCAGAGCTTCAGGGCATAGTGGCACGGCTGCTGATGGTGGAGCGGAGGGGGCGAGGGACGAACAGGAGGCCAGAGACGGCCGAACGGAGGCAGCGGGTGGTGCAAGTGGGGAGGTTAAGCAAATCGTATAGTTAAGGAGGTGCGAGGGCATGAAGGGATAAGAGAGAATTTAAGAATTGTTCACAATTTTGCACAGTCTTATACTTTAGGACAAAATGGTTTTACAGGCTAAGACTAGATGGAATTTTGGATGTATTCAATCCAACAAAATATCCAAGATGGCACTGTTCCAAAAGTTCCAAATGATCAAAGCTTCTATTAGCTTTTGAAGAATCTAACCATATTTCATAGTGGACTTGTGTTTAATACAAATGGCCCTTAATAGCATTATGTTAAAGAAGAATTATTTGAAAAGATTTGCACTGTGAGTCACAACTCAAGTTAGAGAGTAGAAAAGACCATGTGCTAATGGTCCAAGTATCCCCAAGACGATCACTCAAACTCAGAAGCTCTTTAGACAGAGCCTAACATGGGCCTCGGCTCTGAATCAGAAGATTGCGGCTTTGAGTTGCTCGCTTTCACTTGAGCTCAGAATTCAGTGAGTAATAAGATACGACTGCATTGCTAAAGACACTTCCCTACAGATGAGATATTAAACCAAAGTCTTGAGTGCCTGTTCGGGTTCACGAGTACGTTAAAGATCCTGTCATAATAGTTTGAAGGAGAGCAGTGAATTCTCCCGGTATCCAGGCCAACATTCCTCTCCCATTCAAACTCCACAAAAAGAAAACAAATTGCTCATTTATCTCATTTTTGTTTGTGTGACGATCTTCCTTGTGAAGGAGGTAAACGGGGTCTCCTTGGAGCTGAAATGGCTCCAGCGTGACGTGTTTGGCAACAGAATGTTGGAATTGAGTCAATCCTGTTTGGTGACCTTGATAGTCCGGTTCCTGAGTCAGGTGCTTACATAGCATTCCAGGGCACTGCTGATGACAGCTCAGCCAGCCCGGCTCAGTCACTGCATCAAAGCTGTTCCTTGCATAATCATTTATTTGTTATGTCTTTTGCTAGCTTTTTATGAATGAAACGCTAATTGTTGTGCGCAATTGGCTGCCGCGTTCGCCCACAAATATACAGTCAATTCACTTTACAGTGTGTTCTGTGAAGCGCTTTGGGATGTCATCCCGACGTGAAAAGCGCTATATCAAATGCAAGGATTATTATTATTATTATTATTAATGGATGCATATTTTTCATTCCTAGATAAAAAGTGGGAAGGTACATTACATTTCTGACGCTGGTATCGGTGGCAAAGTGGAAAGGAACATTCCTGAGTTCTCAGTATCAGATGGTCAATGGCACACTGTCCTGATAGAGAATAATAGGTCCATTACAACATTCTCAGTTGATGGCACCTATTCTCGAGAAATACTCCATAAAACACAAGAGTTTGGAGGATGGAATGTCCAGACTATTTCCCTTGGGGGCATTCCTCCCGGACTGACTCACCAAAACACTGACCCAGGTGGGTAACTATGCACTTTATCTAAAATAGGTTTAAAGTTGTAAAGGGCAATTTCAGGTCAGATACCAGGAAGTTTTTCTTTACGCAGAGGGTAATGAACGACAGGAACAGGTTGCCAGGAAAGGTGATGGAAGCCAAGACACTGGACTCATTTAAAAAAGCAGCTTGATGCTGTGATGGGGGACGGTAAGGTGGGTGTTCTGGAGGGATGGGCCAAAGGGCCTTTTTCATCCAGACTAATCTGTAACCCTTTATCAATTGTCTACTTTTATCTAAACCTTTAACGTTTTGAGAGTTTTGATTGCAGTGTTGATGGTATGTATTTGGAAGATGGATGGGTAATTGAGATGGATTAATGATTTACTCCTACCTCAAACTGTTACTATCATTGCATGTAAGGTTTACTAACATTATTTACCAGATCATTTTTAAATGCCAGCCAACCAGCATTGAGTGCCAGGCTCAGTAGAGGACCTGGATGAATGAATGCTTTGCATGTCGCGTTGTTCCTTTGGATTCCTTCTGCTGGAAGCCTCTATTTTAGATGGACTCATAGGCTCGGCTGATATATATTTTGGTTCACATTGAATAGAACTAAAGCATCAAATTGAAAACAAAATAGTATAGAAGTTTTAAAAGCATATGTTGGGTGGAGAATAGTTTTGGTTTTGCATATTTATCCCAGCACCTTGGGATATCCTCCCAACATGAAAGGCACTGTACAAATGTAATTTTGTATTGTATTCTCTAGGAGAACCATTCTGTAGCTAGAGGTGGGTGAGGGGGAGCAGCCTGCTGTTTGCCATTGGTACTGTTGAGGCAGCTATTAAGATATGACTTAGAGTAGCCAGTGAGACTTACAATCAGAAATTCCCTTAAAGGACATACTTGACCTAATAATCGCTTCAAATAAATGAATACATAATAATTTGGTCACGTCAATGCACGATTGTTTGTGGGACGCTGCTGTGCGCAATTGGCCACCACTTTTCGCCCACAAAATATACTGTCAATTCACTTTACAATATATCATGTGAAGCATCTTGAGACGCCTCGAAGACATGATAAGGAGTTATATCAAATGCAAGGATTATTATTATTGTTGACCTTGGCTCTGTTGCTCCTACCGACAACCTGGCCAAGATCAGGAAGTCAGTGCATGAGAGGCTGTGACCTTAGCTGACTAACCTCCCATGCCCTGACACAGGGCAGCAGCAAACCACTGTGATGTTGGACTGCATCATACATCTAACGTAGATTGTTTATTTAGCAAACTTAAGTTTCCTTTTTTAAAAAAAGAGAAAATAATTCAACAGCAAAACAAAATGTTATTGTGCCTCTACACAACCACCCAATGAGTTAAAACTAACTTCCTTGAGAGGAAACAAGTACTTAGCTTTAAAAACTTGTATGGACTATAAATTCTGAGAGCCACTTTCACTCCCATTTTTTCCCCACGTTTAAACTATCCTCTTCATTCAGTGAGTGATACCTACTGTTGTCTTTCCCCCATTCAATTGTGCTTTGATCTTTCCTGTTGACATGTACAAATTGTTCTGTTATAAACAAATAAAAGATATGATTCACTAAAAACCTTCAAGCATTAATCATTTCCAAAGGAGCTATTGTATGTTGCTGGCATCCTTTCAACAGCTGCTTTGATTTTAGTTTAAATTTACAACATATTTGTGTCTAATAACATCAGCTTATATGATATAAGCTGTCAGGTATTTAAAATTGATGAAAAAAAAAGTTATTTTCTCTTTGGGTTCATACTGTAGCTGCCAAAGTAGCTGATTGCAGTCCCCATGCATCGAAAATATGTTTGGTCGGGCATTAGCTCTTATTTGAAAATGCTGTTCTTGCAATGTGAATGTGTTTAACAGTGGCCCTTGGGAATGGGTTTGAGCGGGTCTATTATTACTGTGCCTCAACTGCACTTCTGTTAATATTTTTGATTCGGCTTCTTGGCAATAGATTTCATCAGATCCCTCGTTAATATGTTTGATCCCTTGCTAATGTTTGATCAGATCCCTGGTTAATGTTGTCAACCTGGCTCAGTTGGTAGCACTCTCGCCTCTGAGGCAGAAGGTCATGGGTTCATAGCCCACATTGGGACTTGGAACTCTCAGGGTCTAGGCTAACTAGGCTGATACTCCAGTGCTAGGGGAGTCCTGTACCGTAGTGGTTGGAGCATTCGCCTCGCAAGCGAGAGGACCTAGGTCTGATTCCGGGCAGGGCGAAACGTTGAGCAACGTTTACTTCACACACACGCCTCTATAAACCAAGACCTCATGCCAGAGGTGATCGCCAGGCTGATGCACTTGTTTAAGTGCTTGATCTGATACCTTATTAATGGATTCGATTGGTTGTCTTCTCAAAGTGTTTGATCAAGTTCCTTGTTAATAGATTTGGTCAAACTCCTTGTGTTTGGTTGGGCTACCAATCGAACATTGCAAGCAGTCTGATCAAGTGCATTCCCATTGCACAGAACATTTCCATTGTATTCACAATGTTTGATATGTCAACAAAAGTCTTCTTCTCTTATTTATCCTCGGTGTGTCTTATATATAACATTGTGTGGGACTTTTTTTCATCTAATGTTTTTTGTTATTTGTGTAGCAATTATATATCGGTCTACTTACGGCCTGCAAAGTTCTGAATGAGCAACGTGGACAAATCAAAGCAGTGACAGCAAACAATTTTCATAAAGAATATAAGGCTTAATTTGTTTATGGCATGTATTTGACTGGAAAACCTCTTGTGACAAATATGTCTATTGTCTGTCTTCCAGGTTTTGACGGTTGTATCTCCTACGTAAAATACAATGGTGAAACTCTGCCCTTCAGTGGAAAGCACCGTGACGTTGCAATATCAAGAAGTGATCCTTCAGTCAAGATCGGATGTAGAGGGCCTAATGTGTGTGCAAGCAATCCGTGCTGGGGTGGACTGATGTGCGTCAACCAGTGGTACACTTACGAATGTGTCCCGCCCGGAGAATGTGCCACCAACCCTTGTCAAAATGGTGGGATCTGCGAGCCTCTTCTTAGATCTGGATTTACCTGTACTTGTCCAGAGCTATACACCGGTAAAACGTGCGAGATGGTGGTGGCATGTATTGGTGTCCAGTGCCCGCAAGGAACCGCTTGCAAAGCCGACGCGAACAAAGGGTACACCTGCAGTCCCAAGCCTCAAGAGGAAGAGCTGTCTCTGCCTCTCTGGGCCGTCCCTACCATCGTTGGCAGTTGTGCCACGTTCCTGGCTCTGGTCGTCCTCAGCCTGATAATCTGCAATCAGTGCAGGGGCAGGAAGGCCAGAGCCACGAAAGAGGAGAAGGCAAGAAAAAGAAAGAGAAGAAGAAAAAGGGGAGCGAGAACGAAGCTTTCGACGACCCAGATAACCTGCCCCCGTACGCCGAAGATCTGACTGTGAGGAAGCAGCCCGAGGGAGTTCCAAAACCTGATATAATCGAACGGGAAAACCCCTATCTGATCTTTGACGAGTCAGACATTGCGCATGCGACTGATACCTTACCCAGCGGCCAGCCCTGTCCCGGGCCGGAAGCAGAGCTTGAACATTACGACATTGAAAACGCGAGCAGCATCGCTCCATCGGACGCGGACATCATACAGCACTATAAACACTTCCGCAGTCACACGCCTAAATTTTCTATCCAAAGGCACAGTCCGCTGGGATTTGCCCGGCAATCTCCACTCCCACTCGGAGCGAGTAGCCTCAGCTACCAGCCTTCTTACAGCCAAGGATTGAGAACGACCCCTTTGAGCCACGCCGCTTGCCAGAACCCCAACCCGCTCTCCCGACACAGCCCTGCCCCATTCTCAAAGCCGGGAAGCTTCTACCGGAACAGCCCAGCACGGGATTTGCATCTGGCCAGGAGAGAGGGGAGCCCCATCGATCTCCATTCCGACATGTGTCAGCCGGGCATCTTTAACTACCCCTCCCGGCTCGGCAGGAGAAGTAAGAGCCCGCAGGCCATGGCAGGTCATGGTCACAGCTCAAGGCCTGGCAGCCGCCTAAAGCAGCCCATCGAGCAGATCCCAATGGAGAACACCCCTCCGGTGGGATTGTCCATCGAGGAGGTCGAGCGACTCAACACCCCTCGCCCCAGGAACCCCAGTATCTGTAGCGCAGATCACGGCCGCTCATCGTCCGACGATGACTGCAGGAGACCCCTGTCCAGAATGAGGAACCCAGCCGATGGCACGCCCGCTCCCGACTCCTCCTCCGAGAGCGACTCCCACGAGTCCTTCACCTGCTCGGAGTTTGAGTACGACAGGGAAAAGCCCACCGTGTACACCTCGCGGATGCCCAAATTGTCTCAAGTCAACGAATCGGACGCGGACGACGAAGATAATTACGGTGGCAAACTGAAGCCACGGAGGTATCATGGTCGCAGAGCCGAAGGGAGCTCTGCCGTCCAGCAGGCAGGCTGCGAAGACTATAAGACACAGGGCAAGCTTGGACCACAGGCAACTGTGACCGGAGCTTTTAACTGGGACAGTCTATTAAACTGGGGCCCCGGGTTTGGGAATTACGTGGATGTTTTCAAAGACCTTGCGTCACTTCCAGAAAACATGGCGGCCCAGGCAAAAGAAGAAGCATTAAACAACGTTGCTCAAAGTGCAACTACGTCTAACGAAGCAGAAGAATATGTATAGATATAATTTATATAGACCGTTAATTTTAAAAAGAAACGTAATAGCTGCCACTGTAAATGAAAACCTGTAAGTAACGGACTCCTCTTTAAAACCTTGCCCTGCATTCGTCGACCATTTCCAGATGCCGCAGTCTGTAATTTTGTGCTTACGAACAATTTTGCTCTTTACATGAACATTTCTTTCAGGGTTCGCACTGCAATGCACAACCCCTGGACGACTGCGGAAAGCAGATGAGGATTACAGCAATGTTTGTGTTCTGCAGATGCGGGATCTTTCTCCTGACATTTTTGTAAGAGCCGAAAAAAAAAACCCAACACATGTGTGCTTGATTCATTTGAGCACAGTATGTTACTCGTTCAACCACCGGCACTCAAAGGAGCCCACAAGTTGGCCAGCACTTTGTGCAGTTGTGCCAATATTGATAGATTGCTTCAGATCTGCCATGGTCTAGATCTCCCTTTGACCTACCTCCTTCCCCTCTTCCTCCCTTCCACCATCATCCTCCCCACTTCTCACCTCTGGAAGTTTTTAAAGGGAAGATCGTGTTTTGCTGTCATGACACTAAGTGAATCATTCGCTCCCAACCTGGGATAAAGACTCTTTCTGTTCTGGTACCATCAGGCAGAATTCCGATTACATTTGCTCTGTTGGGAGGCAATGGGACCGGACTGATCGTTGTTTTGTCAAGGAATCATTGTGACGGAAACTTTTATGTATTAAAACAATGCAGACCTAGCTTGGCTTAGAGCTAATCCTTGAAATTCTGGTGCAAACCCTTGTGTTCTTTTCTCATGTTCTAATTCCAGGATTCTTTTATACCATTTTAGTAACTTTTTTTTTAAAAAAAGACAGCTCTCTGTATTTGTTACTGATGATATTTTCTTATGAAGTTTAAAAAATACAAGTTTTGTTTCAAGTTTCTTACTTTCAGGGAAGGTAAGATTGAATACTTTTTACATTTGTTACTTATGTAACATCAGTATTTTTTTCCATTTTTGATATAAGTGTAACATACTGTATCCTTTGTACACATAAATGCCAAATATAGAAATAAACTATTTATTTACAAATGCTGGTTTAACGGCTGCAAGCACAAGGATTGTTTTTACTGTGTGAGGATTTAAGGATTTTGTATTTTTGGTTATTATAAGGAATTGTCCTACATGCTTCAATTTTCCTGTATAGCAATACAGTATTCATTTATGCTTTAAATTAAATAGAATCTGGAGGTAGTGTGTGTGTGTGAATGGAGGGCGGGTTGTCATTGGACTTACAGTTCTCTCACCTTTGGGATTTCAGTGTAGTCATGGAATGAAATTCTCTTTCTGTGTGTGAATATCTCTCTCTCTCTGCGCTGGGCTATGTAGAATCGACTTGTGCAGTCTAACTCAGTTCTTAGTGGTCAAAATTGCTCATAAGTATGAGTTGTGGTATTTCGTAATAAATCAAAGTCATGCAGAAGGGATTTGGTCTGGCAACCAGAAATACGTCAAGCCAGTGGTGGAAACTGTGCTCTGACGCAATCTATTTCCAATGGTTTTATATAAATGACTTCCCTACTTTTGTCCTTGATTTTTTCTGGACATGTAGACAAGAACGTTCTTTATGACCCTGTCCACCTTATAAAATCACAAGATTGGTTTGGGTGAGGAAGGCCATCTGATCTCATCCTTCAGAAACACCCACCCTACCATCTTCCCATCACCACATCAAGCTGTTTTTTAAATGAGTCCAGCATCCTGACCTCAAACATCTTTCCTGGTAACTTAGTAAAGAAATACTTCATAGTGTCAATCCTGAAATTGTCCTTTGCAACTCCACAGATTGCAATTCCATTTGAATGTTATACAACTCTACGAGGTCCGCACTGAGATGTTTCCTGAATTTTGATTCCATTTGCATGCAAAAAGGTTTGCAAGAAAACCTTTATTTATAAGCGTGTCTTCTTCGAGTGTCAATTGCTGAAGACTCCAAGGTACTAACAGGAAATAAGGATGTGAAAAGATTGAGTATAACATACATCTCATTGCAGAGTCAGGCACCATTGAGCAGTTTTCAAGTAATCAACACCATGTTTGGGTTAAGGTTGGTTAGAGCTGAAGTACTCGGTAGGGATGTTTAAAAGGGAGACAAATACTTGGGTAGCAGAGGTAAGACCAATAGAAATCTACAGTACAATATGGGCCATTTGGCCCATTGTGTCTGTGCTGACACTTTGAAACAGCAATCCATTCATTCATTTACTTCCCTTTCTGCCATGCCCCTGAAAATTAATCATGTTTAGATAACTACTTAGTTCTCTCTTGAAAGTGAATATGGATCCGGCCTCAACCATTAAGGTATTGAGGGTTTTGCAAAAGGATGAGCCATTGGCTTAATAGATCTTTCCACATCTAATTAGATAGTGGAACAAACTGATGGTCTCCTCTTGATCCTGTTTTCCCATGTTTCTACCTATAAATATTTCAAGGTAACAACAACTTGCATATATAAAGCTCCCTTCACGTGGGGTAGTGTCTTGGAGGAAGCTCAGATCACTGAGATTTAAACATCAGGACCATTAAGCATGTACAGAGAGGTTGTACGTGTGACAAGATTGCTGGTGCCTTGTAGAATGTCACTGGAGTAAATATTGAAGGAGTGATTTAAAACAGTGATGGACTAGCACACTGCGCAGTAAAACATGTGGGACATTGGGGCCGAATTTGCAATATTCAGAAACCACATTCAATACACTTGCATCGACTTCCGGTTTAAGAATATCGAAAGCCACGGTTTGTGACGTTCACAACGCAGATGATTGGGAATCCCCAAATCCTGAAGAAGACCTGAAAATATATCTAAAGGAGAAAGACATTTTTTCTCAACACCCTATTTCCAAATTGTGATTTTGCAACTGGCAGTTTTGTTAATCTCACATATTCTTTTGATATTCTTCAACTGGAAATTGCAATTAACCCATCAAATCTAGTTTAGAAATATTGTAATTTACTCCAAAGTATTGATGATGCTGTCAGTGAAGGCAACTTGGATTAAAACTTAATAAATACTTTGAGCTTTAAGTTAATAGCAAGGGGAATGGGTTTGAAACAGAGCCAGAATTTTTGATTGATTATATCAAGACCAAATCTAGGATCTACTGAGATTTGGGTTTCGATAAGATTTGGATTTTTTTAATAAGTTTTAAAATTTGCATGTTTTCAATTCTACAAAAGTTTTTCCTGTTGAAAGAGCTAGTTAGCGGATCAGTCTCTTTCAGGCCGGCATCCTCAGAAGCCGTGGCACTCTTATATTTATGGGTTCTGAGCCTGACCGAGCCTAATAATAAACTGGCAGTTAATTGTGATTATTTCAGACTGCGGGAACACAGCTGCAGATGCAAAAGCACATCGTTGGGTGCAGTGCCTTTCCGAAAGTAAATTAGCAGCTAATATTAATGCCACTGTGTGCTGGAGCTGTAGATATTTCCATTACCCAAGGCCTCCAGTCAAGGAATAGGTTTTGGAAATGGAGCCTCTCACCTTTCCTGCTGGAGCAATTTGTGAAGGCGTTTCATTTATTCCAAACAGACTGCGATCGAGGTGTCGACGAGTCAGCTGAGGCTATTAAGAAAAACACTCAGAAATGAGTTGTTATTCAGCTCCTGGAAACGAGTCCTAATTTTACAGGTTGTGTATGGTTTTTAAGACATAAAATTGCTCAGGGTCTTTGTTGAGGTGGCAGCTACAGGACAGATTCTGTCTGAAGCGTTCAAGACTATTTAACTCAAAAGTAGAAATCATGTCCTTGCAAATATCGCAGCAGCTTCTGTCCTCCCTTGTGATCTTTGACTTGGTCAGGGATGTCCAAACTAACCAGGATCCATTGGTTACTGTGCTCGACTCGCAAGTGAAAGGACACGGGTTCGATTCCTTGCAGGGTGAAACCTTAGGCAAGTTTCCTTTCTCCTCACGCCTCTGTTCACCTGGCAGTAAGAAAGAACACGGTTGTTAGTCAATTAGCAGATTGCTTTCCGTGGGCAATAAGCCTTTGAAAAAAAATGTAAAAATTATAATTTTGGCACTCAATCCATGACTGTTTCTGGGACGCTGCTGTGCGCAATTGGCTGCCATGTTTCACCCACAACAGATACAGTCAATTCACTTTACAGTACATTCCGTGAAGCTCTTTGAGACGCCTCAAAAGATTGGATAAGGCCCTATATCAAATGCAAGGATTATTATATTATTATTATGAGGTGTATCTGGGATTTTGAAATCAGGCTCCTGTTTGAAATCAGACTCCTGTTGCTAATATGGTATTTTAAACTCCAAAGTTAGTTCTGCATCACACTTCACAAGGATTGACTTGGACTGACGGGCTCGCTCTGTCCTTTGTACACCCGCTCTTGTTGTAGAGTCACATGCAGAAGCTGGAAAGAAAATTAAAACTCATTCAGTGCATCAATGTACTCATGAAAAAGCCAAACTTTACTTAGCTTTCCATTGTTCTTTCACTGTAGACTTGTGCCGGGTTCGGGTCAGGCTGTAGGCTTGAGGGAAAATTCTGAAGAGCAACGTAGTGAAATATTATTATTTTCACTCTAATAAAACATTTAGTTTTCTTCCTTTAATTATACTTTTCCTCGTTAACCATCCCAGAAGACTCCCTGTCAATTACTCAAGGCTCTGCAGCTAGGATGTTGTAATGTTGCTAAAACAACAGCTCTACAAAAGTAAATGAAAAGCAACACTAAATACATGTGCAAGATATTGTTCAGGGAAGGTTTATCCGGATATGCCTGCGGAGAACATGTTAATTCCAGGATTCATGGTCTGAATCCAAGGTATAATTACATGAGGGTCTTGTTGAAAGCAACATTACAATTCTATTCAGCTATGAATTTAAAATGCTGAATGTGTATCTGTAAGGATTTTAAACATGGCTTGCGAGTTAAATTTCCCGAACATTATGCAAAAGAGAGCAATGATACAAACACCCGAGGCAATGAAAAGGCATACTGTTATTTTTGCCTTGTAGATGCAGAGTACACAGTCATTTCAGAAAAATGTGCTTTGTTTAAAACGCATTAAACCTGTTATTGTCATGCGGACTCGGAGATCAACAGAATTGCTCTGAATTCATAGATGGTTTAACAGTTATTTTCAGTGACAGTGGGCTTGTGTTTGCCTTCTCCTTATAAAATAATAATCCTTGCATATAACGCTTTTCACATTCTTCTAGACGTCTCAAAGGGCTTCACAAAATATACTGTAAAGTGAATTGACTGTATATTTGTGGGCAAAACGCGGCAGCCAATTGCGCACATCAGCGTCCCACAAACAGTCGTGGATTGAAAATGACCAATTTAATATTGTTTTGTTTCGGATGGATTATTATTAGGCTCTGTGTGGAGTAAGGAAACTTGCCCAAGGTTTCGCCCTCTGCCTGGAATTGAACCCGGGTGTCTTGTTTGCAAGGCGAGTGCTCTGACCACTGAGCTACAGGACTCCAAAAGAAAGCTAAATGAAAGTAAAGGGTTTTTCTATGATATTCCATATATCAAGTTGATTCCATCAACTTGGCAGAGGAGTTCACGGTGGAATTTTATGTGTTAAAACCATCTGAGGTAATGTAGTCAAAACCTTAATGATATTTGTTTAATTCATAATAATAATCCTTGCATTTCATACAGTGCCTTTTCACATTTTCGACGCCTTAAAGCGCTTCACAGAATATGCTGTAAAGTGAATTGACTGTATATTTTGTGGGCAAAATATGGCAGCCAATCGCACACAGCAGCGTCCCACAAACAGTCGTGGATTGAGTGAACAAATTATTATTTTTTTAAGTGATTATTACTCCCGGAAAGCGATCCACCAATCGATTTCCAACCGAGTTCCTGCTTACTGCAAGGTAAACAGAGGCACGTAGAGTAAGGAAACTTGCCTAAGAGTGGCTTCATTTAGAATTTTCTTCTGCCAATGGATCTATCAATATTACTTCCATGGAGTGCCATTTTATTGTAGCTGATCCTGCAGGTATACTAATAATAGCAAAAACAACAAAATTTCGGACCCGAGCTGGGGGTTGGGATCGGAG